CTTTTCTGAAAAGTAAAAAAAAAGGTAAAACTCACTTTCGGTAGACCACAACTCCTGCAATGACCAGTCCCAGTACACACAGGGTCACGACGATGCCAACAGCTGCTGCTCCTCCAGGAGAGAGGCTCTCGCCGGACTCCGGGGATTTCTGCGGCGATGCTGAATTAGTTGTAGATCCACCAACTGTTGAGGCTTTAGTTGTAGATCCACCATCTGTTGGGGCCTCAGTTGTAGATCCATCATCTGTTGGGGCGTTAGTTGTAGATCCACCATCTGTTGTAGCGTTAGTTGTAGATTCACTAAATGTTGTAGCGTTAGTTGTAGATTTACCATCTGTTGTAGCGTTAGTTGTAGATTCACCATCTGTTGAGGCGTTAGTTGTAGATTCACCATCTATTGGGGCGTTGGTTGTAGATTCACCATCTGTTGGGGCGTTAGTTGTAGATCCACCATCTGTTGGGGCGTTAGTTGTAGATTCACCATCTGTTGGGGCGTTAGTTGTAGATTCACCATCTGTTGGGGCGTTAGTTGTAGATCCACCATGTGTTGGGGTCTCAGTTGTAGATCCACCATCTGTTGGGGCGTTAGTTGTAGATCCACCATCTGTTGGGGCGTTACTTGTAGATTCACCAACTGTTGGGGCTTTAGTTGTAGATCCACCATCTATTGAGGCATTAGTTGTAGATCCACTAGTAGATGGTGCAGCTGAAGTTGTTGAAACAGATGGTGTAGAGGAGTGCAGCTGTTCGTTAGCGTCTCGTCTAAGACGTGGCATTGCATTGGCTGGAGATGTATTTGGTAGAAACGATGATGATGATGATGATGATGATGATGATGATGATGATGATGATGATGATGATGATGGTGATGGTGATGATGATGATGGTGATGATGGTGATGGTGATGATGATGATGATGATGATGATAACAATAACATTTCTATTGATATATTATAATATTTGTATACCTACCATTTCTTGCCATTGCATTCCTCTTTCTCTGGCCTTTCCGATTAGGGTTCATCGCACCTTTTAGCACATTGTGACGTAGATATGCGCACTTTGGTTTCTACCGCTAGTGTAGTCGTTAGATCTAATATTATTTTGTATATGTTCCTGATGAAGCCCGGAGTCGGGCGAAACGTTGAACGGATTATAAATATTTTTTAGAAATTTTACCAAGTCTCAACCTTTTTAATTCTCTGCTGTCTACAATGATGATGATGATGATGATGATGATGATGATGATGATGATGATGATGATGATGATGATGATGATGATGATGAGGATGATGATACTCGCATCCCATTACCAACAGTAACCACAAGTATATCAAATCCATTAATAAAATTATTGATTTCAGTATAATATTTTCAAAGTCCATTAAAGAAAAAAAATCTAAAGCGAGTATAGTTTGGACCTGCATGGATTAAGCACTTAAACTTACTTTCTCTGGATTTTGGAGGCGTGGATTTGTGGCATTTTTGAAGTTTTTTAATGGCTTAAAGTACAGTGACAATATGATAGTAGCCTTGAGCTTGTTCAATGGTCGTGTTGCAAGCATATCGACTTTGACCTTGTAATAGTAGTAGTAGTAGTAGTAGTAGTAGTAGTAGTAGTAGTAGTAGTAGTAGTAGTTAGTAGTAGTAGTAGTAGGAGTTCTAACCATGTTCTGTGGTCTGCTTTCGTCTCCACTTTCTGCCCCCTCCCCACTCTCCTTTGCCCCCTCCTCTGAGCTCCAGACCCTTTCTGCAGCCTTTTTACTGCTACTCCTTGGCTCCTTCTCGCAGTTGTCTTTCATCCACACCCCTGATCTTACAGTAGGTAAGATCAAAAGGCAACAGAGGTCCCGTGTGCAAGTTGCCCACGTAAAGGATCCCTTGGTGGTCCTAAAATTGATAACAGTAGGCTTCGGCCCCCACCCGGGCAAAATTCCAAATTTCCGATCAATTAAAAAATGTTTAATGTGTCCCACGCGCTCATGTGATCTTAAGCAGTTGCGAACGCCGTAAAACACTTACGAACAAAAAAAAAAAGTCTAAAAGTCTTGTTTTAAAACATGGGGGAAAATGTTCTGTTAGAGATAGTAAAACAGGATAAAAACAACAACTGATCCCGCCAAAGAGAAAACCTCTAAATTATGGCTTCCCCATGGGTAGTCTAAGGTATCGAATAAGCCCCCGCCCCCC